GGGCTGAGGATGTAACTAATGGTAGGATTTAATCCCCAGTACCACAAAAGAAAAATAAACAAACAACCTCTGGGGCTGCGGTTGTGGCTCAGTGGTAGAACACTTGCCTGGCATGTGTGAGGCCCTGGGTTCAATCCTCAGCACCATAAATAAATAAATAAATAAATAAATAATAAAATAAAGATCCATTTACAACTAAAAAAAATATTTTTTAAAAAAATGACTTTTTTCTTCCCTCCTCTCATTCAAGAATTCATTCATTAAATATTTATTGAATACTGGTTTTTGGTATCCTAGAGGGGGTCCTGGACCCAATGCCCTAGAGACACCAGGTGACAACTGTACATCATTGGTTATTGATGAGTGCTAAGGAGAAAAATAAAAGAGGGGAGGAGGTAAGAACCATTGAAAGGGAGGTTGAAGTTTTTTTTTTTTCTTTTAATAGGGTGGCTAAGGAAGTCCTCACTGAAAAGTCCTCTTTGAATAATATATCAAAGAAAGTAAAGGGCTATAGGGAAAACATTGCCAGCATAGGAGTGGCAGGTGCAAAGGCCCTGAGATACATACATGCCTGACACATTTGAGGACCAGCAATAAGTTCATCATGGTTGCAGCTAAGTAAACAAATTGACTGACAGGCGATGAGGCGGAAGAGATAATCAGTGTTAGGTCAGGTAGGTCCTGTAGGGAGGAGACTTTTCTATAAATGAGAGAGGAGACCCGGAAGCTCTGAGCAGTAGATCCCCCTTGCCACTGTGTGGAAATCCCCAGAAGTAGGCAGGGAAGGTACAGGAAGACCAGTACAGCAGGACTTTCCTACTCTTCTGGTCAAACCTCACTTGGGCTCTGTCCCAGCTTTCTTCAGGGGCCCCCTTCTTCCATTCTCCTCCTTTCCCCCCTCATCTACCTCATCTAACTCTTGGAGTGCTTCCAAATGCCTGCCCACACCTTTCCTTCCAAAAAGGAAACCATTCTAGCAGGACATGGTGGTTCACAACTGTCATCCCAACTACTTGGGAGGCTGAGGCAGGAGGATCGATGGGAGTCCAGGAATTTGAGGTCAGCCTGGGTTGCACAGCAAGATCCCAAAATAGAACAAGCAAAAATTCAATGGAAAGCTTAAACTGATAATCTCCACAATATGGCCTCACCTCCCCTTCCCAGCTCTATCCCCCAGTCCCTGCTACACATACTCAACACACCAAGTGCAATAAACTTATTCAGCATTTTCAAATACGCAGGCACAGTCCCCTTCTGTCCTTTTGTTCTCTCTGCCTGGAACCCGCTCTCTACAAGGGTCATCTGAAGCCCCTCCTGCTCCAGGTAACCTTTCCCGATTCCTCAGTTGGTCCTCCACACCGTGTGTCTATCCTTTTTATGGCCCTTAAAATATTTCCACCATTATCGTCCTGTCTCCCTCTGTGGACTCCAAGCTCTCTGAAGACAAACATGGCTCCCTCATTTTATAATGCCCATGGCATGGAGAATGGAACCCTCCAGAAGAACGACTACACTCTGAGTTTAGTGATGCTGACGTTATCCTGTAATGGAAAAAAATCTGTAACTTTCAATGATTTCTTTAATTTCAGTTCACGGCCTCAAACTATCTTATTTAGTTAAGCTATAAAAATATTGCACTCTAACACCGACAAAATTCTAGCAGAGAAGCACGATCTGTTATATTTTGTGCCAAATTAATAACACTAAGCAATTTGGCTTAAAAGATTTTTTTAAAAAAAGACAAAAAAGGAAAATTTTTCTTATGGTTCACTGTCACCAGAAGATTTCTATATAGAAAGATGCCCAGTTAAATTTGGAAGGCTTTAAAACACTGGACCTCAAACCACAGGAACACTGATCCACTTAAATATTTTAAGTGTTTATTTTTATTGGTAGGATTTTGATAGAATCAATGTTAATCTCTTTTTGGAAAGGTAATGCAGACACACTGAGAATTCGACTTCACCCTTTGTGGTGTATACACAGCCTTACTCCTGCATAATTTATAGTAAGAATCTGGAAACACTGAGTCAGATTTTCCCATCATCTGTCACGAAAATGTGGAAGCAGGAAGTGGAAAGTACAGGGTGTTTTCTTCCAGCATCTCAGCAAGAGAACTTCCAAAAAGGGAACCATCCTAGCAGGACATGGTGGTTCACGACTGTCATCCCAACTACTTGGGAGGCTGAGGCAGGAGAATCGATGGAGTCCAGGAATTTGAGGTCAGCCTGGGTTGCACAGCAAGATCCCAAAATAGAACAAGCAAAAAGACAAAGGCATCATTCTGTATAGCCCAAATAATTTTCTTCTTACAGAAGTGTATGTCACTAACCCAGCTATGGTTCCACATCCTCTTTAAAATAGTTTGAATTGATGTCCAAATATCACAAAAAAACATGAAGACCAAAAGAAGCTCTGTTCCAGAAACAGAAGGAAAAAGAGGATCTGAAACTCAAACTCAGATTGAACTCAAAATGAAACTTAGCAATCATTCTTTAATGTAAGATCTTCATTATGAATCTCAGCCATGTAATACAAATTATATCAATAGTGGAATAATCCCCAAGGATTTACTTTGTCCTTTTAAAAGTCAGATTCAATATTAGACTGTTACTTGAGGATGATATGCATTCCATACTCTAAAAGAAATCAATGTGTACAAGATAAACATGAATTAATTTTAAATAATGTAAATTGAATATTCCAAAATCGTCAGTATGTTTGAAGCATTGTTAGCAAAAGATTCTCAGCATAACCTCATTAAAGCAGTATTTCTTTCTAATGAGATAAAATGACTATTGAAGTTCCAGTCTAGATCTGATTAGAGAATCCAGCACAGACGGAAGTAATAAAATAGATCAGCTCTGAGTCCCAACCAGGAATTTTAGCCAAGAGGAATCTATCATCATAATCCAGGGTCAGGGTGAAAAGGAGAATTTACCAGAAATACTAACTAGAAACTGATTTTACAAACCAGAAAGCCATTACCGTTCAAAGACTTCTCTTATTCTCTCCTGTATCAGAAAATATCCTGAGCCATCAAATTCAGTGTAGAAAAGACTAGAACAAGAATCACTAGCAGGACAAGAAGCTGCCCCCCCCCCCAAAAAAAAAAAGCACCATACAGATTAAATTTCCAAAAATCACTTCTGAATTCTGTGAGGTCTTTTCACCATTGTTGACCCTGTGTATCTAAATATGGGTCCTGCAGAAACACGCTCCCAGACAAGGATTCAATGCCAAGTGATTGGTTGGGGAGGTTCAGGGAGCGCCAGGCAGGGAATGAGGTGGCCATGGTGCTTGAGAAGTGAGCAGCCTTGAAGGATATAAAAAACACCTCAAAATCGCCTCATCCAAGAGCTGAGTGTTTACTGCCATTTAGTTAAGACTTCCTTGTCTAAAGTGCATCCTCCAAAAGAGTTTCCACCCCATTGACACTTTTGATATCTGACATCAAATACCTTTTTTCCACAATCCATTCATATATTTTCACATTCGAGTCATCTACTCCTAAACTACAAAGCATACCATTTTATCTTACCTATGCCTTTATGTCTCCCTTGAGTCTACTTTATATTCTCAATAAATTAAGATTCTAGAGACATTTGTCATGTTTTAAATTCTTTAACATCAACTTTGTTATCAATTAAGTTGTTTAAACAAACAAACAAAAAAATGCCTGTGAGAGTAGCCATAATGGTCCATGATACATCCATGAAAAATCGTGGGCTGGTCTACACGGAAAGAGCTCAGACCCTACTAACATCCAGAGAATGCTTTATGTGATTAGAGTATAAGAGGACATTTTGGCAGTTCCAAAAGTACTGTCACAGAATGGAGAGGGAGAGGGCCAAATTAAAAATTAACCAGCAAGAAGCTTTCTCAATGAAATGTCACTTGACTTATTTTCAGCAAATAAACAGTCTTTTAAAAATGGTCCAATCTAACCATCATTCCTCTTGGCCTGCATGGACAGGTCTACAATAAATTAGTAACTTTGTTCTATGCCTGAAAGTTTCCTCTTCAGTCTTACTGAATACATAGTAAAAAGGAAATGATAGAAGCCTAGGTAAATTTTATCAATCTTACTAACATACACACTTGTTAAATATTATGCTTTATAAGTTATACAAAAAAATTAATTCAGAAAATAGGCCAAAATGAATGGAAGGGTAACATCATAGGTTTCTTGGATTAAAGGGACTCACTACCCTTCAACAGATACACTAAATACTGAGCAAAGATTGCCTGGTTAGTACCAATTTGAATTGATTAGGTTTTAGATTGGCTAATTTAACTTTTATTAACTCGTTATTTTAAAAGAAATAAAAATTAAAATAAAAAAACAAACAACAACAACAAAAAAAACCCAGATCAGTGATTTTTTCCATCACTGAAAATTTCTGGATGGTTTTTCACTGGGTTTGGAGGCCCAGCTATCCTTCTCCAAGGATTGGACATTTGACAGAGCCATTTTGGAATGAGAGTCCTTTTTAGTGCTGGATCTTATCCTTAGGTAAGAATCAGGCCACATTACCAAACTACCATTCCCCTGAAACAGACCATCTATTTCACAGTGCATTCAGTATTTTAAAAAGCAGACATCTCTACTTACGGTAAATGGTACATCTAAACATCTGTATCTTTATGAACTAAATCAGTGCTTCTCAAGCTATCTGAGAGAAAGAACCTTTCCATTATCACTATTTCCAATCTGTCATCTACAGATACTTTTGCAATATGCATTCATGATAAATTATTATAAAATTGATCTTTTAAAAATGCAACACATAAGCCCAACTGTTTAAGTATTATTAGATGCAACAGACGTAAAATTATCTTGCCAAATTTCTAAAAACATTTTGCATCTCTTTCTCTTCATTTCAATACTTAACTGGCCACAGGCCAGAAACAGATACTGTGGGCCGTACTGGGACCACACTTTGAGGAGCACTGATCTGAAATACCATGCATGTATTTATTCAAAAGATATACTTTACCTCTGACATTCTTTCCAAATCCCATTGAAGACACTTTTTTGTCCACTTGTTCACTATTGTTTGATTTCTCCTTCATAACATCATCATCGCTAGCAACATCAACAGAATATTTTTTCTTTTTCTTTTTCTTGTGCCGAGGTGGAAGCTTTTTTGGAAAAGTAAACATTGGGAATATCACAAGAAACATTGCAATGGCACAAAGGAGGAATCCACTCCACCTAAAAAATTGGGAAATGTGAATAGCATTTATGGGTTTTGCTTTATGAGAATAAGTTACCAAAGTAGAAGTTTGTGGTGATAAAAATTCTCCAGAAATTTTTCATTTACCTTCATCAATTGTAAAGCAATAAAAAAATTGGACAAACTGAAGAAATAAAGGGATTTTCCCTTTCTGTGGTATATGGGAACTCCACCCAATAATTACAATAGTATGATATAAATAAATACTATCATCAACAGCCTGGTTGGAATTTCACTCAATTTAAGTATTTTTGTGCAGCCATGTGTTAGTTCTGCCAACATTGTTAGTCCTGATAAAATGTGTATTTTAAAATAAAACACTAAATCATAAATTTAATAGAAAAATTATAGACACTCTATTGCATATTTTGTAGACCTTAGCAGAAAAGCATTAATAACTTGTTCTAAATGTATTTTTTGCCTGTTTGGTACTAGGAAGCGAACCCAGGGCCCTGTGCATGCTAAGTACTCACTCTAACACTGAACTACCCCCCCTCCCACAGCCCAAGACACAAGGGTATTTTAAATTGCTGATGGTATTCAAATATTTTCTGCAGTACTTAAGAATGTATTAAACCCCACTTAGCTGCTCCACATAACATTTAGCCAAGCATGAGGGCCACCAAATCATGTAGACTTGATCCTTTTCTTGAAGAACTTACAACTTAGGTATAAGCAAGCCAAAAATATAAGAATCTCCAAGATATGCAAGAATGCATACAATTTAGTGTTCATCATAAGATTTAGATTATGAATCCTATAAAAGTGCAGAGAGGGAAAATAAATGTGTGCCAGAAAATTTCCCAGGAGATATTGAACTTGAGCTACATAGAATTCCATCTAGAAATTCATCTGAAGTTGCCACATTGCAGAGAGTTCATGAGGCATTCCATGTATAAAACCCAAATTCTAGTCCTGTATTAGAACCAAGTGTTACCACCTGGGGTTTCTTACCTGCACAATTCCCCAAGGGACAATTTCTCAGTCCCCTCAGTCTTTCCTTAGCAAGCAAAAGTCCCTGGTCCTACCTAACAGGGTTGCCACCTCTAACCAGAATTCCTCCACTCTAAACTCTGCTCTTAAAGCTTCCAAGTTTATAAATTCTCAGACCTTGTCCTCTGTTTTAACATGTACCTATCAAAATGCAAGCAGGATTCTAAGCACTAATGATGTGTTCAATCCAGTAAAAATACAGATTAATTGCAAGGTGAAACTCATCTTTTAAAGAAGTTTCTATTAAAGAGCTATTATCAGTTGGCAAAGGTCATTAGTTGGGAGAATGCTAGAATCTGTTATTAATCCAGTGTATTAGTTTCAAATTTAAAAGTATATCAAGCCAGGTGCAGTGGCACAAGCCTGTAATCCCAGCAACTCAGGAGACTGAGGCAGAAGGATAACAAGTTCAAAGCCAGCCTTAGCAATGGTGAAGCATTGAGCAACACAGTGAGACTCTGTCTCTAAATAAAATACAAAATAGGGCTGGGGATGTGGCTCAGTGGTTGAGTGCCCCTGAGTTCAATCCCCAATACCCACCCCCAAAATCAAATAAAAATTTTAAGATGATCAGAAAAAGGTTTAATTTTGAGAAGATGGCTCAGAACTGACTTCTAGCAATCTCAATTACTCAGAATATTATCACCAACCTAGTGCCTGACACAGATTAGTTACTCAAAAAATTGTTAAATAACTATATTGAAAGAGAGAGGTTTTTTAAAAAAAGAAGGTCATTTGTCTTAAGGGAACATAGCTATGACAACATCTGGCCTCTGAACACTTGGCCACTTAGAGGCCCTTGCCAACCAGCACCTCACCTTTTACATTTACCCTTCTGGAATCTGTCTCCACAAACTCCACATTGAAGTTCCCTAAACCCCTTTGATCACTAGGCCTCTCAAGGTCTCTACACGAGATGGCAGGCAGAGGAGCAGAGGCCACAGTTTATGAGCTTTGGTTTCAGACAGACCTGGGTTTCCATTTTTATCAATTACTAACTATGAAATCTTGGGGAAATTTCTTTGCTTTTCTCAGGGCCTTATGCATGCTAAGCTCTAGGGTAATAAGTGGTTTGGGGAGTCCTAAAATTTAAATAGAGGTATATTTAAATAAGGTATATGATGGAACTAACAAAATGCCTGCTTCCAGAGCTAGGGTTGTGGCTCAGTGGTAGAGCACTTGCCTAGAACGTGTGAGGCACTAGGTTCAATTCTCAGCACCATATATAAATAAATGAATAAAATAAAAGTCCATCAACAACTAAATATATATATTTATATATTTAATGCCTCCTTCCAAACCAGCAACCAATTCATGGTGGCTAGTTTGGTTTGGTTTTGTATTCATGTGGATCTGTACTCAGTCTTACTGCCCACTCCCTCCCAGTCATTGATCTAAAAATACATGCAAACAGTGAAGCTTCACTCTGAATAGCCCAAACTGAGAGCATATAACAGAAGGGGAAGAATCATAGCAAACAAATAAAAATGACATAAAAGTCTGAGGTCATACTGAAGCAGAGCAAACCAGCCCACATTCTTCAACAGTCTCCAGAAACATCAGTATGACACATGATATAATGATGGACACTAACGACATCACTAAAGAGGACACTGAGAAAAGTTGAGTAGGACAAGATAGTGTGTGTCATATATATGGGAACGTCACATCAATAATAGCTGATATTGAAAGGCCAGGGTGTCTAAATCCCTTTCATAAAGCATTACACAGTCCATTCACTAACGGGAGTCACCAGTGGATTGGCTGAAAGCTCTGCCCTAGAATCAGTTTCTTATCCCAACACTCTCTAATTCTGAAGTTAGAACAAATAATTCAAATCTGTGAGCATCCATTTTGTCACCTGCAAAATGGGCATAATATTAGTGACTACATATATTTGCTAAGCGCTTGGTATAATGCTTGATACACAGTAAATACCCAATAAATATCAGTATTATTCCTTCATTCACTCCTTCCCTCACTCTTTCTTTTAAATATTTTATTATTAGTTGTTGGTGGATCTTTACTTATTTTTATATATTTATTAAAAACCTATTGTTGCTGCTAAGCATTGTGCCAAACAACTACGACTTTATTCAAAATAGAAGTCTGTTTCAAACAGGATTACACAACTTAAAAAATTCAAATTCATTTTCAAGTAGATCCTTATTATATAGTTCTAAGTTGATAATCTTTATCATTTTTTAAATATTTATTTTTTAGTTATATGTGGGCACAATATCTTTATTTATGCGGCGCTAAGGATTCAACCCAGTGCCTCCACATGCTAGGCGAGAGCTCTACCTCTGAGCCACAACCCCAGCAATCTTTATCATTTACATAACTAATATTGAGCCACTGAAATGATATAATTGCTTGAAAATTGATTTAAGGACTGAATATCTAGCACATATGGGGTGCCCAGGGCAGGAACCATTAAGAGCCCTCCATGTACAAACTCATTTGTTCCTCACAACCCTATGAAGTAGGTACTGTAACTATCTCCTTTTATGAATTAAAAAAAAATGAGGCACAAAGAAGTAACTTCCTCAAGATGACATAGCTTCGCCTCATTCAAAGTTGAAGTTCTCCTCCTGAATCCTGGACATATTTGGCAGGACAGTTAAGGTCCCTCAAGTGCACACAGGATTTCAATCCAGGCGAGTACGCCTTTCAGATCTTCAAGTCACTCCAATCTGCTCCCTCTGGACTAAACGTCTCCTAGAAAACTTTTAATTGACAGCATAAAGCACTAGTATGACTGAAGCCCCTGCTGTCCCTCCTTCTGCCCCTGAGTTGGTGGTCCTCGTCTTTCCCTCTCACTGTTTCCTTATCACCAAGCCCTTCTCAGGACATCTAAATAGAACACAGATTATACATTGGATATTCATATGTATATTTTAACAATCTAGTTTTATAACAATAAAAAAAATCCCTACTCTGATTTATTTCACAACTGCAAAGAAAACAGCCAAAATCAAAATTTTCACTTTCAGTCAAAAACTTAAAAGCCCTGTGTGATGTTCCTTTCAATGTCAGGGGAACTCCTCTCTCTATGATTTGAAACATTCTAGCAGGCCAAGTTTGTCTGTATCTTAGCACTTGCAGTTTCATTGAGGATTACTAGTGAAATTAGAAGCAGCATAGAAATTGATATTTGTTAACTTCTTTGAAAATAGTGGTAAACATTATTCCCACCAATCTCAGAGTTATGAGCTATTATTCTATAATGAAACAGAGAGAGAAAAAGTATACAACTCTTTTGAAAGTAATTTGTTGACAGATAATTTCTAATAATGCAGTATTCTCTTTGCCATAAAATAAAAATTTCTTATCGATGTGTACCGATTTCTAACCCATGTGAAATAAATTCAGGACACCAATATTTTCAGTCAGTGCTTTTGTAATTACAAAGAAATAACTGATTATGTCCAAATGAAGGACTGTGAAGAACTCAAACATAACCCTGGTCATTTAGATAAATCACAGAACACTCAAAGTTGAAGCTCTCCTCCTGAGCAGGACAGAAGAAGGTCCACCTGGTGAGAAAACAGCTAAATCTCCAGGATATATAAGGAAACCAAATACCACCAAAGAGAAAAGATTTGATGAGCACAGAAGCAAGACTGAAATTCTGGGCAGTGGGGAAGGGTTATAAAACAAAAATATAAATACAATGAGGAAGCACAGAAGACGTCATTTTTCAAAGGCACAGAAAAGATAATGAAAGATACAACTAAACAGTAAAGTCCCTTCCCAGCCACAGCAGCCCTGCTCGTACACTCTGCTGTAAAGGAAACAGCCCAATCCTGGAGAATGCAGGAGAATGTCACTGAAGTGTCTGTATTAGTTTCCTGTTGCTGCTATAACAAGTTACCACACACTTAGTGGATCGAAAAACCCAGGTGGATTATCTCATGGTTCTGGAGGTCAGAAGTCTATAGGGGCATTGGTAGGATTTTATTCCTTCTAAAGGTTCTAGCTAAAGAAGAACCTATTTACTTACCCTTCTAGCTTCTGGAATCTACCTGCTTTCTTTGGCTCACAAAACCTTTCTCAATCCAAAGTACATCACTTCAACCTCTACTTCAGTCATCTTCTCTCCTTCTCTGACTTTGCTCCTATTGCCTCCCTCTTTCCTTTAATTAATAATGGGCACACCCAGAACACTGAAAATAATCTCCTCATTTTAAGATTCTGAACTTGATCACCTTGACAAGGTACCTTCTGCCACATAATGTAATATATTCACCGTTCTGGGGATTAGGAAATGGCTTTCTTTGGGGAGTTATCATTCTGTCTACCATCTACTGTCAGGTGACTTAGGCTATATTTTTCATCTCTTCAGTAGGGAAATTTAAATACAAGAGTTTTTATGACTAAATCATTAGTAAAAAGTGAAATACAAAATTTAGAAAACAATCTTACCAGTTTCCAATGAAACGAGGGTCATTCTGGTCAAGGTGAACAGGATTTCTGGGATCAACATAAAAACCAATAAGAAGTCCACCTAATAAATATCCCACTGCAGGGCCAAGTGCTCCCATGACATACATGATGGCTGAGAAGACAGAAAGGGAAATAAGAAATATAGCAACATTTCATTGAAGTGCTAAAAGTTCTCTGATGTCCAAAATATACTGCAGATACATCACAGTTAAATCCAGTGAACAACTTCCAAAATGTCTACATTGACATTAGGGTTTCAAACTGTGTGCTTTATCTCACTATTACCTGTGGTCCTCTTAGAGAGTCAGAATCACCTGGAATGCTTTCAGGTTGCTTGTGCTTTGTTTGTTTAATATAAACGTTCTGGTCTCACCTCCAAACCACTAAATTCGAATTTAGAGACCCAGGCTAGTTAAGGAGGCAAATGAGGCAGTCACTGAATAACCAAGACGAAGTTAAAAAAATAAAAGTTTCAAGATAAAAGGGGAAAAAAGTAGTATCACTTGTCTTAACAGGATGAAGAAGGAACTTAGAAAGCTAGGTTGAATTGGGGAAGCTGTTCAAGTACCTTCCAATTGATAATGTTTTTGAGCCACCATTGTAAAATCAAAAAAGACCTTGAAATGCATTTGGTTTATTGTTAATTGAGGAATCTTACATAAGAATAAGTCCTTCTACATGGCCTGGGTCAGGAGGTCCGAATGGAAAGCACTGACCACAGATGGACTAGAAGATAATACTTTTAAACACATGTCCAAGGAGTCTGGTGGGTATTTATCTTACTGCCAGTGGATCAGAAATTTGGTATTTTATCAACAACAATAAAAAGTATATGCACGTGTGTGTGTGTGTGTGTGTGATCAAAATGAGCATATAGCAAACAACAGCAGGTCATTAATTAGAATTAGTTTATTTTTATATGCCTATTTTCACTTGTGTAATTTAATATTCTAAAATGCCAATCTTGAGGCTGGCAATATAGCTCAGTTGGTAGAGTGCTTGCCTCGCATGTACAAGGCCCTGGATTCAATCCCCAGCACCACAGGGAAAAAAAAAAAAAAATATATATATATATATATATATATATATATATATATATATATATATAACAATTTTTAAAAATTAAGTTACACTTAAAAATTTTTTAAAGGAAAATGCCAATTTTATAAATTTGAGATAAGATAGGGAATTCCTTGAGAGTCATAGAAAAATATAGCCACACTACACGCTCATTTTTTTTTTCCTTCTGCTCAAACACAGTTATTTAGGGGAATATCCATAAAACAGTTTTAAGGCACTGCTGTGTGCAAGGTATGATAACAAAATCAGGTGTTAAAATCCATTGCCATCATGCATTTTTAACTGCTGAACAAATAAGAAAGTTCTGCCATATCCTTTAAATAGCTATATATTTACCAGAAGGCAAATTGGGATAATCAGAATGATTTCACCCCACTTTATCATCCACCTCTAAATCAACTTTAAGTAATCTTGTACCTCCTGTTACTTATAACTACAGACAAGACAGTAATTTAACACCTGCTCTCTCACTTTTCACACCATTACAAAAGAGAAGGCACAGTGTTTATTTTACAGAATCATCTGCTGGTAACCGTAAGACATTAGGTTCTCAGACTCCCCCATCTGTATTGGAAATGGAGAAGGGAGGCACACCCACAAGTATCTGGTGCTCTTTTGGAAGTATGTTTTTAATAAATGAAATTAGAATTTTGTTAATTTTATTGATCTCTTCGTTCATAACCTAAACTGTAACTCAAGAATAGAAAGTACTTTTTCAGGTGCAGGTATTCCCATATGCATAGGAAGATCAAATTTATGTTTACACCTCCAGGCCTGCCAGCACCATTTACAACTTAAAACTGTAATGAGGCCAAAATGTGACACGAATCATCCTCCCAAAATAATTCTTGTGGCATGAAAGAGGCTGTCTTACAAACACACACAGGGAAAAGGGTACTTCCACAATACTGTTTATGCCTACGGCATTTGAGTGCAAATCTTGGAGTGGTAAGCAAGACTGTGTAAGCATGTGTACTAGCAAGCCCCTGCAATCGTCCAGTGAGAAGAAAATTTATTCAATAACACTCACCAAAACACCTTCAGCTACTTTGTAAAATGTAAAGCTTTTTCAAAGTTAACAATGTAATCAGAAATTTAATTTTATTATGTAACAAGCACTTGAAGATCAACAGAATTGCACAAACACACATCCATGCCTTCTTTTAAAAATATTTTTTTAGTTATTGATGGACCTTCATTTTATTGATTTATATGTGGTGCTGAGAATCGAACCCAGTGCCTCACACATACTAGGCAAGTGCTCTACCACTGAGCTACAACCCCGCCCCGGACACATTCTTTTAACCCAGCTCCAGTTAGTAAGCAAATCATTTTCTGGTAAGAAATTAAGCCTTTCTGGCCGATGAGTTAACATTTATTGATGGATTTACAAATGGTACTCAGAGAAAGCTTTAGGAGACAATGTTGAGGCAAATTCATTTCACATACCCTCCCTGTCAAAAACTTCCCCTCACTGCCCACAAACTAAAGAGAAGGGTCTAAACTGCTCTTCCTGGAGTTCAGGGGTATGACAAACAGACCAGCCTCTTTCGAGTGTTCCCATCTTAAAATCAGAAGCCTGTATTCAGGGTAAGACCTCAACACACCCTTCCCTGGGCCTTGCTACCTGTCTGCATCCTGACCATCAAGGCCTGAGCCCAGCCATGTTGTCCTCCCCTGAATGTTTCTCTCTTCTCTGAATCCCTGTAGGCTATATACTGTTATTCCAGGGGCTTACAAACTTCATCACGGATCCCTAGTGGAATGAATCCAAAATAATTTTCCTACATACATATAAATATACCATAGTGAATCCCACCATCATGCACATCCATAAGAATAGGGTCCTAATTAGAATAAGATGCATTCCATGCTTGTATAATTATATCAAAATGAATTCTACTGTCATGTATAACTAAAAAGAACCAATAAAATAGAATAAGTAAAAGGTTTTAAGCACTTATCCCCCAATGGATTTATTTTCTGTACAAATAAGGTGTGTACTATTAGTGTCACTCACACAATTAGCAACTAATCATCAGAAAATCCTGTTGGTTCTACCACCCAATCATATCCAGTATCCAACTCCTCTTCACCTCTATTTCTAACACTCTGGTCCAAGCCACCATCATTGCTCATTTGGGAAATTGCTCTAGGCTTTCCAACTGGTATCCCTGTTTCTTCCCTTAACTTCTGCACTGTATATTCTCAACACAGCAGCCTTAATAATCCTCCAGAAACATGAGCCGGATGTTGGTTCTTCCTTGCTTACACCCTTTGATGGCTTCCCATCTCATTCACAGTAAAAACCAAAGTCCTTGCATGGTTACCAGGACCTACCCACACATTTATTTGCATGGCCTCCCCACTGTCTCACAGATTATTAACTGTCATTCTCCTTGTTTCTTGGGCTCCTGTCTTACTGACCTTCTTGCTCATTCATCTTCAATCTTCCAGGAATATCCTCACCTGAGGGCCTTACCACTTGCTCTGTGGGTGTGCACACACACATGAATGTGTGTGTAGTGGATGCTCCTCCCCCACAGCCACATGGTTCATTTCCTTACTTCCTCCAGCTAGTTACACAATCATTTCCTTTGCTGAGGTCTTATTTGGCTACCCTAACCATAAACTGAAAACTCTTTCCCCAATTCTTCCCATCCCTTTCCCTGCTTCAATTTTCTTCTTAGCATATATTACCACCTAACACACTATGTATTTCCTTTTTCATCTTGTTTATCATCTGTGCTCCCCATCTGGAATATAAGCTCCTCAAGAGCAAGGATTCTTGCCAGTGTTCACTGCTGTGTCTCTAGTTCCCAGATGGTATAGGAGGCACACAACCCAGATTGACTCAGTACTCAGTACTTATTTCTCCCATTGAGTTTATGCTATGAGTGACTATATCCTCCAAAAGTTTATGTGGAAGCTTGGTCCCAGTGTGGCAGTATTGAGACATTAGGTATTTGGAAGCATTTGCAAGGTTGGGTCATGAGGGCTCTGCCCTCAGAAGTGGATTAATCCATTCATGGATTAATGGTTAATGTGGGAGTTTTAGAAGTGAGTGTTCTCTTCCTACCACCTCTCTCCTGCTCTGCCTCTCTGTATGATACTCTTCACTCTTCACCATGTTATAATGCAACAAGAGTGTTCTCACCAATTCCTAAAATAAAATTAGGAATAGAATCACCACATGACCAGCTATCCCACTGATTGGTATTTATCTGAAAGAACTAAAATGAGCGTACTATAGCAATACAATATTTATAGCAGCACAATTCACAATAGCCAAATTATGGAATCAGCCCAGATGTCCATCAAGATGAATGCATCAAGAAAACGTGGTACATATACACAATTGAGTTTTACTCAACCATAAAGAGGAATGAAATAATGGCATTTGCCAGTAAATGGATGGAAATGGAGAACATCATGCTAAGTGAAGTAAGCCAGACTCAGAAAATTAGAATTGAATGTTTTCTCTTATATGTGGAAGCTAGGGCAAAATAAGGGAAAGAAGGTGGCTGGGGTGGAGAGAATTGGATATCATAAATATATAGGGAAGATTGGTAGAGTGGAAGGCTGAGAACAAGAGAGATGAAGAACAGATGGGAAAGGGGAGGAAATATGGAAAGAATTTAACAAAATCAATGCATATATAAATGTACCAAAGGAAATTTCACTTTTATGCATATGTAGAACCTACCAATCAAAAATAAATAAAGGAATGAAAGGAAGATCAGTGGAATAAAGGAAGGAGAATAGGAAGGGGAAGGGAGGAAGGAAAAGGGAGAAATTGGGATTGAAGTCAAATTTCTTGCTGTTATGATTTTGTCAAAATGAGCCCAACTGCTATGTATAATTATGCAATAATAATAATAATAATAATAATAATAATAGAATGCACTCACCAGATGCCACCTACACAACAGCACCATGCTCTTGGATTTTCCAGCCTCCAGAACCATGAGCTAAATCATCCTCTATTCTTTTTAAACTACCTGGTCTCCAGTATTTTGTTACAGCATCAGA